CCACCCCCAGTGCCCTGCCCCCACCCCTGGGTGCCCTGTCCCCATCCCAGCTACCCTGCCCCCACCCCCGGGTGTCCTGCCCCCACCCCTGGGTGCCCTGTCCCCATCCCAGCTACCCTGCCCCCACCCCCGGGTGTCCTGCCTCCTCCCCTGTGTGCCCTGCTGTGGATGCACGGGGTGGGGGGGGGCACCCTGCCAGCACTCCTCGGTGCCCTGCCGTGGACACACGGCAGGCTCCTTGCCAGTACCCCCAGGTGCCCTGCCCCCACCCCCTGCCCTGCTGTGGATGGACTGCCCCACTCTCCACAACAACCTGACTCCTCATTGACCCCAAGAACCAGAGTCCCCTTTTCTGTGTCCCCACCCTTGCAGCTCTCGGTCGGCCCTAGTCGCAGTCCCTCTTCCCAACATGCACCTGCCCTGGCGCTGGCCGCTGCTCCCGGCTGCCTCGTCCTGCACACCTTTCCACATGGCAGATGCCCCCATACCTTCCTGCTTTTCTCTCTTGCTGGTCTGCATATGCTGAGAACAGGGAGACTCCCCAGTTCAGCAGACTGGGAGGGCCCCAGTGCTTTGGGAGTCTGGGCTCTACAGACCTGGTACTCCAGTCTGTCCTCTGTCAGCCTGGTTTGGGGGGGATGAGTTTTAAGGAGGGTGTGCGTTTTGTGTCTCTGATCACTGGCAGCTGCTGACTTTAGGAGGAGCAGCTGAGGGACCACCTGCTGGGGTTCCTGGAGGCCCAGCCATCAGCACTGCTCCGTCCATCTGTTCTGTGTGTGTGATCCAGGATCCTTGTCTCTCCCTGTGTTCTCTGCAGAAAGTGGTGTTGATTTTGTTGTTGAAAGTATGCCGAGCAGAACACAGTAACAGCTCAGCAGTTTCTTGATGCACTTTGTCCAGTGTGTGGCCATCCCACCCTCTTTACTGCCTTGTTCCTCCTCAGTGACCACCCCAAGGCCCTGTCCTGCGTTTCTCTGCCTGCACATGCCCTTGGTGTTGAGCGGTGCGGCCAGCCCATCCTCTTCCGGAGTTGTCTCGTGTCCATTTTCACGTAGAGCTGCTGCTCTGAACTTCTTGCTGTGGAGTGTCCCCTGGGCCCGTGTGGACAGACCTTCCAGGACTCAGTGTTCTCATCGCTGCGCTCTTGGTTTGGTTTTGAGGAGACTTTAGGGAACTTCATGGTTTGAGGTTCGGGTAGGCTCTGTTTTTCTCTTCTTTTTTCGTGTCTCCCAGTTTGCTGGAAGCAAGGCCATCGCTGAGGGCAGGATGAGTGGCGTTGTGACGTGGGCAGGGGAGGTCCCTGGACCGTGGGAGAAGGTGATTGAGCAGATGCAGCTGGAGGAGTGGGGCCGTCTGGTGTGCACCTTGGGCAGGGTCACACTCCGACAGCCGAGTGGGTGGCTAGACAAGCAGGGGTCTGCTAGACAGCAGACACTTGTCCCCTGAGCTGGCACAGTGACTCTGCCTTCTCGTGGCGCCCTGGCGAGCGGACTCCGCCTGTCTGTGCACACCGACTCCTCAGGGTGGGTCTCGTGCTGTGGACTCCAGCATGGCCTGCGGGCTACTTGCTGACTCACCCCTCCTCCACACTGGGGTCAGGTCAGGGTGCCCACACATCCAGCTGGGAGGTCTCCGCAGCTCCTGGGCCATGGTAGGCTTGTCCTCCTGTATGCTGACCCTAAAGTGAGGGGGGCTGGCATGGGGGTCTGCTGAGGTGCGAGCCCTTCATGTCCATCATGTCAGGACCTGCCTGAGACCGTGTGCTTTTCTCTTGGCAGCACTGACCTGCGTCACCTCACCTGGTGAGGCTGTTTGCCAGCTCTCTCCCAGGAGTGTTTCTCTGTGCCCTTTCTGGAGTTGGTTTGCACTGTTAGAGTTAAAATTCTGTGCTTTGTTTGAATGATTTCACATTTGAAGTCCTTGAGGAACCAAAAGCCAACATCTGGCCTTTCCATGAGTGGACTGGGACATTGGCCTCTCAGTGAGCTTGTTAACTCCATCCAGGGACTTCTGATGCCATCCTGGAAGAGAACAGCAAAGAGAGAAAGGTGGTCACCCGCCACGCGATGAGACAGGGAGGGCGTCCTCCACCCGGCGGGCTCTCCCTGCTGTGCTCCCGTGGCCCCGACGTTGACCAGATCCTTGACCGTCCACTCCTCCCCACTTGCTGTCAGCAGGCAGCACATGTGCCAGGAAGAGCCACCAGTGTGGCAGCTGCTTCTCAGGTGCACACGACCTGACAGAACAGGCATTTCTCAGAGTAACTGGGCTGTGCATGTGAGTCCCTGTGACCTCAGCAACATGGTCAGCGTCTGCAGGACAACTGTGTCCAGGGGCTGAGCCAGTGAGGAGTCAGCTGGGGCGTGTGTCCAGAAGGATGCTGGAGACAAGGCATTCCTTGGGTGTGGGCAGCACAGGACCTGGAGTTCTCCAGGGCGAGATGTGGGGTGGGGCCACTCTCCATCCTGCTGTTTCTGGCCACCTTGTTTGTAGGGTGTGGCCTGGGTCCTGGAGGGGCCAGCGTGTGGCTGTGGGCAGGCCGAGGTCCTGTTCCGACAGTCGCTGTGCTGGCAGCCCCTCCGGCAGGTTCCCACCCGAACGATATGTGGCTCTCTGTTGCAGTAACTCATGAACTTTGCTTTCAAAACCTTCTTGTGGGGAAATAGAAATAACAAAACCTTTGCTGTTTCAGCATTTTTATGCACTTGATTGGTGGCATTAATTCCTTCTTTTTGTAGCCATCACCATAACTTCATTTTTATTTCTTCTTTACATTGAACTGGAACTTGGTCCCTCTTTAATGAAGCAGGAGCCCTCATGTCCAGCCTCCCTCCTCCGCTGAGCTCCAGCCCGTCTGTGCCCTCTCCAGACACTGAGGTGCCAGGGTCCCCAGTACTTGAGCCCTGGTAACCCCAGGAGGTGTGACAGTCCATCCACATCGCAGCAGGACTTCGTCTCTCCGTAGTTGACTAGCACTCCGTTGACGGCTAGGCCACATTGCGTGTGTCCACACATCCACTGGTGGACGCTGGGGCTCTGCCCATCCCTTGAGCCTGTGGCTGATGCTGTGGTGAGCATGGCACATTACCTGCTGCAGGTTGTCTGCTGTAGCCCATGGTGGGTCACAGGGTCAGGTGGTGCTGCTGTGAGGTGGAACCTGTTTTTGTGGCCCTGCCAGGGCTCATGTGTCCTGGGAACCTGCCCCAGGAGATACTGTCAGAGACAGGCCTGCCCTGTTACTCTCGGGACAGCTGCGCAAGTGTCTTGGCAACCTGGGCCTCACAGCAGCCTGCACCTGGACTGGCCAGTTGAGTCATACCTGGCCCTGCCATGCACCTTGTTTCAGAGGGCCAAGGTGGCCTTGGGGGGGCCTTCTCTTTAGCCTCTCATCCGGGAGAGCAGATACCACACAGAGCATACCCTGCAGTGTGCACCAGGCTGTGGTCAGCACTGACCTGCCAGCTAGGGCTGTCCCGGCATCCTGGGTTGGGACTAGCCCACCAGCTCTGGGAGCCTGGGATCCCCTTAAACACGTCTCCCTGATTTTCAGTGGTGAGCGTGCCCAGGTGGAGGTGGAGGGATAGGATGGACATAAGCCTTTCCTCAGGGCCAGCCATGGAGTCTCAGGGAGAATGGACACAAATGGGTCATTTGCCAACAGGGAGTCAGCGGGAGCAAATAGTCCACACAGTGTCCTGGAGCCTTGGCACTCAGAGGAGGCCATTCTTTGGACACCCTTCAGGATGCCCTCGCTGACACCCTAACCCTTCATGCCATGCACATGTGCACATGCTGTGTAGCCTACATGTGGCCAGGGCCTCCACGGTCAGCCCAGTTTCTGTTCCAGCGTCTTGTTCCTGTAGTCCTTCCCTTTCCACACTTTCTCGGCCCCAGTGTGAAGAGCTGCTCTTTCCGTGACATGAGCTGTGCGACTCTGGGCAGATGGCCCGGCCTTGCTGCCCCCCAAGTATCTCTAGTGGCTCGTGTGTGGTTTTGTACACACTCTGGGTGTGGACCCAGGGTTGGGCTGCAGGGCTGGGGGCTGGCAGCCGGCTGGGTTCGTCGTCAGGGCTACAAGCTGATTGACGACTCTGAGGGCTGGTTGGAATGGTCTTCAGGATGGAGGCTGGAGAGTTGGCTCCCAGAGCTGGGGCTTTGAGCTCTGAGCTCATCCTCAGGACGGAGGGGCTGGCTGGGCTGGCTCTCAGCTAAGGGGTAATCAGCTTGACCCCCATGACTGTGGGCTAGCAGAGTTGACCCCCATGTGCTGACCCCAAAGCTGAGGCCTTTTTGTGTTTGAACTGCCTTTCTGTGAAGCCCAGTGGTGCCCTGATCCTTGGAGCCCCCAGGGCAGATCCCTTGGGGCGGGGCTAGGTCCAGGAGTCTCCCTGTCTGTGAGGGTCGTCATCCACCGGTGCCCAGCTTCTGGGTCAGCTCTGGCTCTGAGCGTGTCTGCAGGCTGACCTGACCTCTGTGACTGACAGGCTGGTGTTGAGGATCAGGTGGGAAGAGGGTGGCATTTTATCCTGAGTATTTCTGCCTGTCTTGGGCAGCTGCTGCAGGGGAGACATCCCAGAGGTGTCTCACGGGAGCCCTGTGATGGATCCCTGGTGTGTTGCACTGCTGACGGCTGTGTCCCAGCGAATGCGTCCCGCAGGATCCTCCCAGAGGCCTGTGTGTCCAGTGTCACTTGTCCGTGCGTGTAAACCTGCCCCGCTTTAGTCTATAGCAGCGCTGTACACGGGCACAGGTGATTGCAGGTACCCGGACGCACTCTAGACCCAAACCATCTGCAGACCACCCGCTGTTGCCGGATCTCTGGGTGTGAGGTCCTGGGGGAGGGGGTTCTGTTGAACAGCTGAGTGAGAAGGCAGCACCAGGAGCCCCGACATCTCCACAGTTGACTTGGAAACCTTGATTGACCCTCATTTTGTGGGTGCTGAGCCTGAGGTCCAGCAGGGTCGTGGGTCCAGGTAGGGGGCAGGCTTTGGACTAAAAGGAGCTCTGATGTTCCCAGTGGGCTTACAGTGTCCCCCACCCCCCAAGGTGTACATCGGGGAGCTTCCGAGGGACTTCCTGCGCGTCACGCCCACGCAGCAGCAGCAGCAGATCCAGCTGGATGCCCAGGCCGCACAGCAGCTGCAGTATGGCGGGGCCCTGGGCACTGTGGGCCGCCTCAGCATCACCGTGGTGCAGGTGGGTGCGCCGGGCGTGTTGGCAAGAAAACTCAGAACATCCCTTAGGGTGTGAGGACGGTCTGCTCACTCCCAGACCCAGCTTCTTAGAGAAGCGCAGACACAGAGACAGAGGAACACACACATACCCTCCCCTCCCCACACAAGACAGAGAAACACACCTACACCCTCACGTCCCCACACACCCACCCTAGACAGACACACAGTTCAGCAGCTGACAGCCTTAGGACAGAGCCACACCTTCATCACAACTGGTTCCAGTACCTGTTCCTCCTGGTTGTTGATTGTCATCTAATGGAGCATGACTCACAGCGACCCAAAGACCTGAAGCCTTTCTAGAACTCTTGTCAATTCTCAAAGCTCATAGAGTTTCCAGAGGCATGTGGTTTAGTGGATGCCACTCCTGCTTCCAGCCTGTTCCTCCTAGCAGTCCTAAAACAGCCCTAAACAGCACTGGCATTTACTTCCCTCTGCCGGCTGCCCCAGCCCCTCTCCCCCGTCCGCCGGCTGCCCCAGCCCCTCTCCCCCGTCCGCCGGCTGCCCCAGCCCCTC